CCCCGCAGAGGCTGAGTCCTGCCGTAGACCCCCCACGCCGCAGAGGCTGAGTCCTGCCATAGACCCCCCACCCCGCAGAGGGCTGAGTCCTGCCGTAGACCCCCTACCCCGCAGAGGCTGAGTCCTGCCGTAGACCCCCTACGCCGCAGAGGCTGAGTCCTGCCGTAGGACAGCAGGGACATGGCTGGGGAGAGGCAGATTTCCTGGGTCCTGATGTGGCTGCATGGTGTACTAAGCTGGACGGCTGGGGCCCGGGAGCCTGCTGGCAAACAGCCCCTCGTGTTAGGTCAAGGAAAGGCTGAAAGAGTTGAGAGCTGCTTTAAGATGATGACAGAAAGCCCACCCAGCCACTGCAAGCTGTCCCTCTGTGGTCACACCACTCATTAGACATGGGCGGTGCATCTTCCTCTGCCTTTGACTTTAAGATAAGGCCGTTCTGAGCATTAAGGCACCACTAGAAACAGGGAACCCCAGGGGTCTGGGCCTTCTTCCCACATCTCCTGGTCCCTGCCCCCACCCCGGTCTACAGGGACCAGCTCCACAGAAGGCCCTTGAGGCCAGGTCACCATAGGAAAGGGAGGAAGGGGGGAACTTCCCCCCAAGTGTCTCAGGGAAGAGCAGCTGACGTCAGGTGGCTGAGGGTGGACATGGGAGAGGAACCTCCTCCTGGGGGGCTGACCATTCCCCTGGTCACCACCCACGCCTTAGCTATCTCCTCTCCCCCAGTGCAGGGAGGGGCGGGGGCACAGCTTCCTGAGCCCCAGACTCAACTGTTGTGGTTGCAGGGCCATCAGGAGAGAGAGAGAACTGGACACATGCCCGCAGCACCCCCTGCCCCCCACCCCATGATGGACCCCAGAGAAGCCGGGCAGCATGGGGAGGCCACCGACGGCGCCCAGGAAGATGTGGCCTTCAACCTTGTCATCCTGTCCCTCACCGAGGGGCTCGGCCTGGGTGGGCTGCTGGGGAATGGGGCAGTCCTCTGGCTCCTCAGCTCCAATGTCTACAGAAACCCCTTTGCCATCTACCTCCTGGATGTGGCCTGCGCGGACCTCATCTTCCTTGGCTGCCACATGGTGGCCGTGGTCCCCGACTTGCTGCCAGGCGGGCTGGACTTCCCGGGCTTCGTGCAGACCAGCCTGGCCACGCTGCGCTTCTTCTGCTACATCGTGGGCATAAGCCTCCTGGGCGCCGTGAGCGTGGAGCAGTGCCTGGCCGCCCTCTTCCCGGCCTGGCACTCGTGCCGCCGCCCACGCCACCTGACCACCTGCGTGTGCGCCCTCACCTGGGCCCTCTGCCTGCTCCTGCACCTGCTGCTCAGCGGCGCCTGCACCCAGTTCTTCGGGGAGCCCAGCCGCCACCTGTGCCGGGCGCTGTGGCTGGTGGCCGCGGCGCTGGTGGCCACGCTGTGCTGCACCATGTGTGGGGCCAGCCTGCTGCTGCTGCTGCACCTGGAGCGAGGCCCCCAGCGGCCCCCGCCCCGGGGCTTCCCCGCGCTGGTCCTCCTCACCGTCCTCCTCTTCCTCTTCTGCGGCCTGCCCTTCGGCATCTACTGGCTGTCCCGGAACCTGCTCTGGCACATCCCCCACTACTTCTACCACTTCAGCTTCCTCATGGCCGCCGTGCACTGCGCCGCCAAGCCCGGCGTCTACTTTTGGCTGGGCAGTGCCCAGGGCCGCAGGCTGCCCCTCCGGCTGGTCCTCCAGCGGGCGCTTGGAGACGAGGCTGAGCTGGGGGCTGCCAGGGACACCTCCCGCCGGGGCCTGGTGGACATAGCAGCCTGAGCCCTGGGGGCCCCGACCCCAGCTCAGCCTCTGGGAGCCAGGAGGAGTTGCCATCCTGCCTCCGGGAAGACGGTGGGGTCAGAGGCTGGGGCCAGCCGGACCTGGAGGAGGCCTTGGTGGGTGACCCGGTCATGTGCTGTCGAAGCTGTGACCCTGGCTCCCGGGCACAAGGCTCCCCTGGGAGGCAGCTGGAAAGGCAAGATCTCTATATGCCCAGGCAGGTGGGCCGGGTTTCTGGGGAGAAGGCCCAGGAATGTGCATTTTTGGGAAACCTCCCTGACAGTTCATGCACAGGCACCCGTTCCCTGCTCAGCTACAGTGGGGAGAGCCCGGAAAGGAAGGAAGCTGGTCCGGGCACCAGGTGAGGGGCAGGTGCAGACCCTCCTGCAGTCACCTCCCCTCCCGCCCCTCCTTCCTCACGCTGCAGGTGCACCCACGGAGAACACAACTGTCCTCAGCTCACCATGTCCCCTTGCAGCAGCTAAATTGACCCTAAAATTGAAGACTGCCCGAGACTTGACTGCCGGCCCTGATGAACTGTGTCCAGAGCGGCCCGAAGCCTTTTTGTCCTGGACCCGTTATGTTGTCGTGGGTTTTAAGCAGGAAAATGCAGTGATGCCACAAAGCCACTCATTCCATCAGCATAGGGTGTCCGTGGATCCAAAGCCGTACCCCCAACCCCAGCACACATGAGGAAAAGCAGGGCTGAGGCTGGCTTCCAGAAGGCTGGGGGGCTGTCCTTGGTCATCGGCCCCTTGCTCAAGGCATGCGACTCAGACCTGAAAGATACAGCCCTCACTTGGAGCTTCGGAAAAGCTGGCCCCATGGGTGTCCCCAGATATTGCACCCTGGGTGGGAGGAGAGGCTCCTTACAGCCCCACCCAGCAGCCCGAAGCCCTGTCTCCCCATGGGACCCAGGCCTTCAGCAACCAGAAAGCTTCCTGTCTGCCCCGTGTGAGGCAGCCCACCCCCTGCCCTGGGCTGGTCGGCTCCAGAGGAACCCTCTAAGGAAGGAACCCGGGCTTCACCCTCAGCAGGCTTCTCAGTTTCCCCTGAGTGCCAGGCCTGGCTGCCACCCCAGAGCACCTGCCAGGGGGTGCTAGGATCCGGGGCTTTGGAGCCCACAGCCTGGGCTGAGCCCTGCTGGTCACCCCACTGAGTCACCACAGCCCAGTCTCTGAACGCCCCCCCACCTCTGCTTGCTCGTCTGTGAAATATGAGATCCAGTGCTGTGAGGCCTGCCCAGCCTCTCGTGAACCCAAGAGAAACGAGTGTTGATTCCACTGCTACCAGCGCCCCACATCCAAGTCTGCAATGCCAGTCTGAGCCGCAGACTGAGGCATCTGAGAGGTTTGACTTCTGACTCCGGCCTCCACGCCCGGTGACGGAGGGACATTCCCTCCCGGCCATGACTGAGCCTGTCCCTGCTGAGTCTGGGTGAGGGTCACAGACCCCTGGTCAGCAGCCTACCCTAGAATCTGGCTCCACCACCCTCCTCACCCCGTGGGGCCTGCACTGGGCCCGCCCCAGCCCACACAGCGCGTTCACCCCCGGCTCCCATGCGTCCCTGGCCGGTCTGGAGACTGGGAGCCCCAGGGGTGGGGCCTGCCTCTCCGACAGCCCCTCCAGCCCCGCTCCGGGACTTACCTCCTCCCAACTCATCTCCAGCCCAGGATCTGGGCAGGACACTCTCTCCCTGCCTCCAGGACAGGATTAGCAACCTCAATTCCTCAGCTGACAAACGAGAACAGAAAGGGAAGTGGCCTGTCCACAAATTCCACTTTCAGTCCCAGGACATACACTTCCCCCAGAACAAGGAAGAACCAGGAGGAAAAGCACAGATGACTCTCACGGACATGACCTTGCCGTGGGCATGATCCCGGGAATCCTTGTAGTAATGTAGGAAGTTGCTCCCACTCTCCAGATGAGACCACCGAGGCTCAGAGGGGCTACGTGGCCGCTCAGGACCACAAGAAAGTGGCAGAGCCAGAAGGTGACCCCCAGCCCACCCTCCACCACACAGACCAGGGCGAGCTCAGGTGCCCTCAGCCCCACACTGGCTCCCCAAACCCCGGCCCCATCCTCACCCAGACCCCTTTGCTGCATAAGGGTCCAGAGAGACTGGGGACCCTTCGAGTGCTCACTCCCTCCCAAAGAGCCTGCCTTAGCATCCAGGGGATCAGGGGCAGCTCTAGATGCCTGCTTATTAGCCCTTCCCACGGAGTCCGGGAAATGTGGCTTCATCCGAGGTCTCCACGGAAAGTGGGCCCAGCCTGCCCCCACTCTGACAGCAGGCATGGCTGCAGGGGTACGGCCTGAGGGCCCAGGATGCTGGTGGGGTATCCCCTTGGCCCCAGATCTGCCAGCTTAGCCTCCAGTTCTGTGGTCCCTGAGACCTCAGGACATTAGGACTGTGCGGGCGGGGCTCCAAATTGGAGGCCGAGCTTCTGTCCAGGCTCCCACCCGCCCCTGCCCAACCTGCACCTCCTCTTCTGCCCCCGGAGCTACAAGGCTCCACCAGGGACCCCTGGCTGACCTCAACCCCTAGACCCCACCCTTTAGGATGCTGGGGCTGCCCCACTCAAAGGACGCCTCCGCCCGGGTGACAGGCAAAGCTCCTCCGCCAGGGCCCAGCCCACCCTGCCCACCTGCCCCCAGGTCCCCGAGGGGCTACTGCAGCCAGCAGAGTTCCCAGGAACAGGCGGCTCCTGCTGGGGGCAGCCAAAGTTCCCGGGAGCCTCCCTAACCCGCTCCCTCCTCAGGGCCGAGGGAGGCTGTGTGTGAGGCCTGTGTGTGTGTGACAACAGGGACAGAGACAGGCCTGCGGCAGCATCCCATCCCCTCCCCATCACCAGGCGAGTCTGTAAATCAGCCTGCGCTGCATGGCACCCCTACGGGGCAAGGCCCGCGGTCACTCCTCGGCTGGTTCGGCGGCTCACACGCTGGAAAAATGAAAGCAAACATACCTAAACCATGACGTCGGCTTTTGTTTTGTTTTTCTCGTGAAATTGCACAATTCTTCCACAGCCCTGAAAGTTTCCTCAGAAGCACACCCCACCCGCCCACCCTGGCGGTGCCCACATGATGCCCAGCTGGCTACGGGGCTTCCAGTCCGTTCGCCCCTGGGTTCCCCACCACCCCCATGTGTGGTCACGGATGCGTGTCAGACCTGCTGATTTCATGAAGGGGTATTTTTCTCTTCAGCTATTGGTTCTCACCAGCAGCAGAGCCAGTGCGTTCCAAGTCGTGACTCTGCCTTGGGCGCTGGCCACGCGGGTAACATGCATGAGGTCACGTGAACTTCTCAAGCACTGAGGCTTCGAGGCACTGAGAGCACCTGGCAGGAGCCACTGCCCCAAACAGCCGAGCCCAGAGCTGGCTGCCACTGACGGGTTCTGGTTTCTAACCTGGGTGTCCCCTGATGGGAGCCCCTAGCTCCCAGCCACGCAAGACTCCGCCAACCTGCGAACAAGAAGGGAGGGAGGCAGAAAGAGGGCAGCCTCAGACCCGGCCCAGCAGCCCCCAGCAGCCCCCAGCAGCCCCGGTACCCCCGGTTCCACCTGTGTCTTGTTTTCTCTGCTCTGAAGCGTCAGCGTCTAGGCCCCTGCAGACGCAGGAGGGGCAGCCCCTCCCAGGGTCAGTCAGTTCCCAGAGAGTGACAATGCCTTCATGAGCTCACATCGCAAATGCACCCCACCCCCAGCCCTCCTCTCTCCGGCTCCCACACTCCTGGCCACTGTTCCTGCCCTCATGGCCCCAGAGCCAGGTTCCAGACCACCAGGGACAGGTTTTAGGACCCAGAGCTCTGAAAGTATTCCCGCTGCAAACCCTACACCCAGCGAGCGGCACTGCCAGCCTCACCTGCTCCTTCCTACAGAAACCGTGGTGAAGCTCCTAGAAGTTCCCCTCCTCCTCGCTCTGCCTCCTGACCCACCCGGTACCGCCCACGTGGCCCCATGGGGTCAGCTCCCCCTCCTCCTGGAAGCTATGAGTTAGCACCATCTCTTCCATGCCAGGGTCTCCTCACCTGCTGGCCTCGCCTGCCTGAATAATCATGATGGCCGTATGCAGCACTCCCCACATTGAGCTCTGCAGACCAGCAGGGGCGGGGGTCTGTCTTCCACATGCAGCTGGGCTGGGCTGGGGGCTCTGCTGGATCCCCGTTCCCCACTCTCCATCAGCCCTGGGGGACGTGGGCAGCCTTGGGCTGAGTCAGGCCAGTTTTGTTCTGAAGGTCAGATGGGATGGTGGCATGGAAACCACGTGAACTGAGGCGGGTTCCTGGCGGCCAGAACCTCCTGTATCCCGCGCTGTTCCTGCTTCCTCAGGGGCCCCCAACAGCCCCCACAGAGACCATCACTGAGTCCCCACAGCACGCTCGATGGGATCAAATCCTTCCTGCACCTTCAGGCTAGGACACTGGCCAGGGCACAGAGCGGCTGCAGGTTGAGCAGTGAGGTCACCATGTCACGAGGTGGAGCCTGGACATGGGCGGGACAGCCCAACTGGCAGCTCTAACCATCACATGAGCTCAGGACGGCTGTATCCAAACAAACCGCTCTTGGGCGTCTGCACCACCCGGACAAGCGAGTTAAGTGTCCGGCACCTCAGTTTCCCCAGCTGCAGGCAGGGAGGAGGAGGTCGGCATCTCAGACAGCGCTGTGGGGCGCGAGAGAGGCCCAGTGGGGCGCATGCACGCACTCAGGCCGCCTGCCCTGCGGTCACTGCTTGTAGCTGCCGGAACTGATGGCCACATATCAAGGGGACGGCAGGGCTGTGCTCCCCAAAGCCTCCAGGGGCGGGTGCTTCCTCGTCTCTTCCAGCTCCAGGTGGCTCTGGGTCCTCCCTGGCCTGTGGCTGTGTGACCCGCGCTCGCCTCCAACCTCACGTGGCCTCCCCGCTGCTCTCCAGTGTCCCTCCTCTCCCTTCCCATATAAGGACACTTGTCATTGGATTTGGGGCCCATACAAATTCTCCGGGACGAGCTTGTCTCAAAGGCCACCCATCTGCAAAGGCCTTTTTCCCCAGTCAGGTGCCAGCAACTGAGACTGGACACACAGGCCACACCGTGGATGGGGTGGGCTCTGGCTCAGTCCTCCACTGGGACTGGACACGTGGGCCACACCGTGGATGGGGTGGGCTCTGGCCCAGTCCTCCACTGGGACTGGACACGCGGGCCACACCGTGGATGGGGTGGGCTCTGGCTCAGTCCTCCACTGGGACTGGACACGCGGGCCACACCGTGGATGGGGTGGGCTCTGGCTCAGTCCTCCTCCAGCTCTGGGAACGGCTGCTCCCCTCCCCCACCAAGGCTCCCTCCCTGCCCTGCACCTGCACCATGCCCCTCCCAGACAGAATAAGATGGACTGAAGCCCGGCCTCAGGGCGACACCCATGCTCCACAGGGGACAGCTGGCCAGTGAGAAAGCCAGCACACGGTGTAGGCGGTGGGCAGACCCGAGAAGGGGCTGTGGGAGGGGTTGGGGTGACAGAGAAACCACAGTCGGCAGCTGCCTGGGCCTGGCTGGGGCTGGCCAATCTGCACGGATGTCCCTCCAAAGAGCTTCATGCTTCACTTCAGGCTGCCTCAAACAACCGCCCGTGCCCAGCACCGTTTGAAGTGCCCCATAGAAAGCGACCCCAGAAGCTAAAGCACCCCACCCCACAATGGCCCTTAGACAGGGGAAGCCCTCGGGGGCCGGGATAGCAGTCGCTGCCTGAGACCTGGGTTACAAGACAACCCTGCCCCACTCCTGGGCCCTGCCTGGCTGGAGGGTCCGCAAGGACCCAGAACTTTCCAGCTCTCAGGTTGTGGTTGTGTTGCTGACACCGAGCTCCCCGTCCCACCCGGCGGTGCGGTGGCTAGGAGGGATCCAACTAAGTTAATAGAATGCTCGGAGTTTCACTCAAACCGGAGGCGGGTGGAGCCTCGCGGGGAGAGGCCAGGTGCCACAGCAGGCTTGGGCAGTGACCCTGCGGCGCGGGTGGAGCCTCGCGGGGAGAGGCCCTGGAAACCAGCATCTGGGGTGGAGCTGGCAGGAGGCACCCCTAGGCCATAAGGGGCCTTTCAAAGCCAAGTGCAATGTTGGAAATAGATGTTTGGTGCCATGAAGAAAAATGAGCACTGAAACAAAGGCCCTTTCAGCAACGCAACGTGTACTTCTGGGCTGCAGGAAGGGCACCCTCACTAGTCCATTGTACAATGAACAACGGAAAACACACACATTTATCCCTTGGGCATTTGGGGTCGTCCTCACCGCTGTGTCTGATCTCCATTGGCTGGAGCCAGACCTCACCATCTAAACTAAAACCCCATTGGCGAACAACTTAAAACTTTTCTGAACAGGTGAAAGCAGTGGAGAGCTGGGACACGCCTGTGAGCACGTCCAGCACAGATACCTTGGTAAAGGTACAAGGGCATAGAATGTACTACGTGCCTGTAAGCATGGCATGTTAACAGCCACATAGGATAGGGCTTCACAAAGAGTTATTAGCACACTTATTCTTTAACAAGAAACGGAACTTTGAAAAGGAACTTTTCTACTTCCCACGTGAACAGTGCTGGTGGCCGGGTGGCCGGCAGGTCTCCGCCTAGAGCTCCACGGACCTCTGATTTGTGCCTCAGAAGTGATTTCCAAAGCCAAGTCCATTTGAGAAACTGGAGGAGAAACATCATCTTTAGGACCTAGTTTCTGACTTGAGCTAACACACTCTGCACCCCAGTTGGGAGCTGTGGAATGCAGTCCGTGAAAGGAAAAAGTCTCTCTGGTCTGGGGCAGATGGGTGGATGGGGAGGAGGTCCCTTTAGGAAGTTGGGGGCCACCTCTCAGACCACCCACAGAAGCACTGGTCGGCTGACCCATCATGGGAGCCAGTCCCAAGCCTGAGCACCCAGGCACCGAGCTGTCCATAAGCGTTAAGTCCAGTGAAAGGGGGAAACTGAGGCACAGAGAGGTTAGGTCATTCTCTCGAGGCCACGCAGCCAGGCCCCTGCCCACAGTTCTAGGACCCCTGTGCCCACAGCAAACCAAAGGTTGGCAGGAGCAGCCCAATATCAGTGGGGCAGCTGGAAGGTGCTCAGGCCTCCCTAGGCACAGAGGGTCCCCATTCTGCTCCCTCCCTCCAGGTACCAGGTGAGGTGGGAGCAGAGGGAGAGTGCTTGCCTGGTGCCTTCAGTTTCCCCTGCCAGCCGGGCTAAGGAGGAAGGGAGAGGCGGCCCACATGGACAACATCTCTGTTTTAGCTTATTCCTGAAATTTCTGTGAACAGCGCCACACCCTGCCGCTTCCAGGGAACTGGCCGGGTGCCCTCCATCCAGCCAGCTGCGCCCCAGAGGACATAAAAGGATTTAGGAATCAGAAGGAGCCTCCAGGCAGTGAGTGATGGTCTGAGCAGAGAAGGGCCTGTCTGAGGGAGCGGGGCAGTATCATCACAGGTGAGAAGGCTCTGCCTGCCCCCCCCCACACCCCAGGTGAGGCCCTGGCAGCCTCTCCTGCCCTCCACAGTGGCCTCTGCTCCCGCACTGGCTCCCAAGGGGCCTGGGCTGGCTGGGACGTCTGGATTTCCTTTGGGAAGGGAAGGCAGGGCGGGTTGAGGGTGGGAACATGGACTGAGTTGAAATGTGTGGACCCAGAGCTCTCAGAGCTCGAGGGCGTTGCTGGAGCTGCCGGGCAGGTGACTTGTTCTGATAACAGCAAAGACGGCCCTCCTGCTGCCCTGCCACTGCTCTCCGGAACTCTCTCTCCAGAAACGGAGCCCACCTTATCCCAGCACACGGGCCCAAGCGCCGGCCTCACCGCAACCCTCAGACTCCAAGCGGGGCCAGAGCACAGCCAGGAGAATCTGGTTAGCTCCTCGGGGAAACTGAGGCTCACAGAAGGGTGGGAACACCCGGCCACGACGGTCACCACCACAATCCAGGGTCCGGCCGAGGTCTCCCACTCCCCGTGGCTGGGCCCGGAGGACAGGCCACCATCACCATGTGCCCAGCCACGACAAGCCACAGGAGCTGAGGCCTGAGCCGAAAACCCTTCCCATCTGACTGGGGACAAGGACAAGTACAAAGAAGGTGCTGGGGCTGTGGGGGGAGGCTCGGGCATGAAGCGGGGCTGGTGGGGGCGGAGGGGCTGCAAAGGGTGCTGGCCCCTGAGAAGGGGCAGAGCCCTGAAGGAGGGCAGGACCTGGGTCAGCGAACAGGTGGGAACACAGCCAGGCCGAGCTGCCGTGAGGGGCTGCAGGTGTGTGTTCGGGGCTCAGCCGCCTGTCTCTTCTCTGTCCCTCTGTGTCTCTCTTCCTGTCTCTGTCTGTGTCCCTGTCTCTCTATGTCTCTGTCTACATCTCTCTGTCTCTGTCTCTGTCTCTCTCTCTCTCAGTCTCCTTTCTCTCTCCCGTGTCTGTCACCCCTGACGCCCTCACTGTAGAGCCTGGGTCCTGACATGTGTCCTGGAACTAAGAACAGGACCCGCGTGGGTCCTGGGGGAGGGGCCGGCTGGAGGGGAGGGACTGCTTGGAGACCCTCGGCTGCTCCACCGAAGCTTCTGGCAGCTACTCTCTCTCCGCCCCGAGAACATCCTCGGGGACACTCGGCCTTGCTCCTTGCAAGTGGCCACTTGTATCCGCCCCTCCCCTGTGTCGGCGGCTCCCAGAGAGGCCCCAGGGCCCTGCCACCGCCACCAAGGCCCCTGCCTTGGTTCAAGGCTTCAGAGCAGCCTCCGGCATGCACCGTCGGCAGCGTGAACCCAGGATTCAGCCTCTACCCAGGCCGGGAGAGGGCAGGGAGGCTGGGGGCTCCCTCCAACACTTCACACCCCCACACCCCGTCTTCGCTCCTCAGGCCACCTGAAGCCTCTGCCTTTGGGCGCTTACTTCCCTGGACACCTCCAGAGGCCCTCTGGGGAAGTGGACTTCCATAGGAGGCCGGTCTAGGCCCACTGGTGGGAGCCCCTTGAGGGTCCACCGTGGAGAAGCCCCCGCCTCTGTGGGAGGAGGAGGCCCCACCGGTGGGTTCCCCACGCAGGCCCCTCTGTCTGCAGAGCCTTGTCTGGCACACGGTGGAGGGTGCAGCATCGCCCTCACCACATCCACGGAGGGACGTGGATGTCTTTTGAGCAGCTTAGTGCACCCTCCAGGAGCCCAGGGCCTGCCCGAAGTCGTGGGGAGGCATTAGGCACGCCTGACCTGACGTGCAGAGGGCTGAGCCCTGGCTGAGGTCCCGCCGCGGGGAAGGGTGGTCCGGGGTTGCACCAGGTGGGCACCTTCAGGGCCACAGATGCCGCTCCCTGCACCCCCAGCAGGCGCACAAAAGACGCCTGAGGACCACATCTGTCTTTGTCTCGCAGGTCCCTCACCAGTGCCCTCTGAGCCGGCTAGGATGTTCGGGCTGTTCAGCGTCTGGAGAACCGTGGACAGCTGATTGTGGCTCTCGAGGGGGTGGTCGGTAATGGGCTGGTGCTCTGGAACCTTGGCCTCCACATCAAGAAGGGGCCCTTCTCTGTCTACCTGCTGCACCTGGCCGCCTCGGATTTCCTGTTCCTCTCCTGCCATGTGGGCTTCTCCGTGGCCCAGGCTGCCCTGGGCATCCAGGACACGCTCTACTTCGTGCTCACCTTCCTGTGGTTCGTGGTGGGGCTCTGGTTGCTGGCGGCCTTCAGCGTGGAGCGCTGCCTCTCTGACCTCTTCCCTGCCTGCTACCAGGGCTGCCGGCCCAGACATGCCTCAGCTGTCCTCTGTGCCCTGGCGTGGGCCCTAAGCCTGCCAGCCGTGCTGCTGCCTGCCAACACCTGTGGCCTGCTACGCACCAGTGTGCGCCCCCTGGTCTGCCTGTGCTACCACGTGGCCAGCGTGGCCTGGCTCCTGCTGCTGGCTTTCGTGGCCTGTGTGGCCGGCGTGGTCCTCTTTGTCTGGGTGGCCTGCTGCTCCACGTGCCCTCGGCCCAGGTTCTACGGCATCGTCCTGGGCATGCTGCTCCTGCTCTTCTTCTGTGGACTGCCCTTGGTCCTCTACTGGAGCCTGCGGCCCCTGCTGAACTTCCTGCTGCCCATCTTCTCCCCGCTGGCCATGCTGCTGGCCTGTGTCAACAGCAGCTCCAAGCCCCTCATCTACTTGACATCAGGCCGGAAGCCCGGGAAGCGGGACCCGCTGCGGGTGGTGTTGCGGAGGGCCCTGGAGGAGGGCACTGGGCAGGGCACTGGGATAGTACTGCCTATGGGCCGCTTATAGGTGGGCTTGCCCTGCCCACAAGGCCTGCCAGGAGACGCCCACCCTTGCCCAGACGCTTCCAGGGCCGGGAGGAGCCCCGCCCACCACCTAGCTCTTACCCTGAGCACTTAAGGGCTGGACACAGCTGGGGAGACTTGGTCCTGACCACCCCCCAGCCAGGCGTGCTGAGGGTAAGGGACGCCGGGAACCGGAGCTGGAGGGAGGTTGGGCCAGGTGGGAGAAAGGAGAAGCCTCCTGAACAGGGGTGAGGACAGGCACCACGCCCCCCAGGCCCCGCCCAGGCCCCCTCACCCAGCCCCTCCCACCCTGCTGCACCTGAGTCACACAAGAGAAAACTGAAGTAAAGCAGAGCCAGCCCCCAGCCCATGATGGGGGGCTACTGGATGGGAACCCAGGCCTCCAGGCTCCTGCCGCCCTCCACGCCGCCTGCTGGCTGAGGCTCTGATTCTCCCACTGCACAGTGTGTGGGGGGGAGCTGCTCCTTGCTCCCCACCCCCCTCAGCCATCATTGTCCTGCCCACCCCACGTGGGCTACACCCAAGGCTCTGTCTCCCTCTCCGAGGCCCAGGACTTGCAGGTGCCCGACGTCACCAGCAGAGGCCGCCAGGTGGTGCTGCTTCTGCGCAGAACAGACCCAGCCCCGTGGGCCGGCGGGCAGGTGCCTCCATCGTCCCCTCCCGTCCCCTCCTCTTCCCCCCCCACACCTGCCCCACGGGGCCTCTCCTGCGCCCCCAGGGCCATCCGCTCTCCACCCGGGACTAGCATCTCCCACCTCTGTTCTCACTCTCCCTCCTCAGCCCTGGGTGGTCTGGAGCTTTTGCCCCCAGGGTTTGCTTTGGAAAGATGGGGAGAGAGAAAGGGGCTGAGGGAGGGAGGAGGCGAAGCCAAGCTGTCAAAGCGCAAATCATTTGATGCGTTTTCTGTCCGTTAAATAAAAGACTTTCTGGTCATTGTTAAAATATTCAAGCTCTACAGAAAATACTAAAAAGATAAATCACCAAAACTTTTTCCATCCAGATGGGGACATTTTTGGTGAAAAGCACCCCAGTCATGTATTTTTTTAAACAAAGACCTGCAGAAATTTTCTTTTTTGCCCAAATGAAGGCATTCAATGGGCGCTATTGAAGCCGGGTGGGACATTCTGCAGCTGCCTTTGAATAAAGTTGTTCTTTTTCCACCAGAAAAGTAATATGTTGCTCACTTATGGGAACTTTGAAGAATGTTCAAAAATGGAAAGAAGAAAAGCTTATATATAGTCCCCAGTCCCCCAACCCAGAGACACGTGCCTTTGCTGGTTTTTCTTCCTTCCCTGGGATGAACATGGTTCTGGCCACACCAAGTGGCCCCTGCCCCCTGCCCACTGCCCCTTCCCCGGGATGAACATGGTTCTGGCCACGCCAAGTCCCCCTGTCCCTGCCCACTGCCAGTTCTCCCCAGACCATGCTCTTGGCAGCTCAGCAGGGAGTGTGGAGTGTGGGCACTGTTTGTCTGAAGGCCATCTGGTAGGCTCAGGAGGAGGGGAACCTGAGCCCTGGTGGCCAGGGGAGACAGACTTTCAGGGGCAGGGTGGGAGGAGTTGTCCATTCTTGTGACACTTCACACAAGACCCCAGGAGCCATGTGGCCTCCTTCCTGGAAGATCTGGAAACGGGATAAGGGTGGGGACAGTTTCAGAGGTGAAAACACTACAGGATCAGTCCCATCCTCCCAGCCCAGGAAATAGCTGCAGGGTTCCCCGTGGGGCCATCCATCTGTGTGCAGCAGCGGGACAGGAAGGCAGCTGGCTGCTGATGGTGTCTGGAGCGCATGACAAATAGCCCAGTCTAGACAGATGGAGAGTAAGGAGACTCTGCCCCGGCACCACTGCTGAGCCCAGAGACAAGCAGGTCAGGTCCTGGGCCTGGGGAAGCTGCAGCCCATGGAGGGACACGGCTGCCCGGGGCTGGTCGGGGTCTAGGCAGCCGCAGAAGCTGGACTACAGCCCAGGCAGAGCTGCGCTCCCATCCTGCCCACTCTTCTCTGGCTGGGTGACCTCCAGCATGTCACCTGACTGCTTTGAGCCCAGGTCTCTGAGAGACATCAGGGCAAGCTCTCCTTGCCAGGATGGCAGGGAATCCAGGCCTTGGTGGAGGCCGGCCTGCCTGAACCTTCAAGGCCAGATGCATTGCCTGTCCCACCTCTGCAGAGCTCCAAATGTGTCCTGCCCACCTTGACCTTGGCACACCCACGGTGCTTCCTCCTGGTGTCTCTGCCCCTGGCACCGTCTTGCCCAGCCCTCAGGGACCCGTCCTTGTGATTGCCTGTCCTGCTCTGTGATGCCCAGGGCTTCCTGGCAGCAGACGCTGAATTCTCAGCTCCTCTAGTGTGCACCTGCCCTGTCGGCACCCACGGTGACCGCTGTGTCCAAACAGCCCCCGCCGCAGCCAGCACAGTCCAATGCGTTTCCCGTGTGCTTCCCGCCCCTGTTTATTTGCTCTGTGTTTGCCTCTTCAGTGACCTTGTCTCCCTGGAAGGTGAGGTCCATGCGGGCACAGAGCCAGCAGCCGATTTGCCGCTGTCTCCCTGGAAGTGGCGGATGAAATGGCTTGATGAGTGCTTGTCAAATGGGCGGACAGGTGGATGGATGGATTGTTGGATGGATGGATGGATGGATGGATGGATGGATGGATGGTTGGATGGATGGATGGATGGATGGATGGATGATTGAATGAATGGATGGATGGATTGTTGGATGGATGGATGGATGATTGAATGAATGGATGGATGGATTGTTGGATGGATAGATGGATGGATTGTTGGATGGATGGATGGATGGATGGATGGATTGTTGGATGGATGGATGGATTGTTGGATGGATGGATGGATGGATGGTTGGATGGATGGATGGATGGATGGATGGATTGTTGGATGGATGGATGGATTGTTGGATGTATGGATGGATTGTTGGATGATTGAATGGATGGATGGATGAATTGTTGGATGTATGTATGGATGGATGGATGGATTGTTGGATGGATGGATTGTTGAATGGATGGATGGATGGATGATTCGATGGATGGATGAATGGATGGATGGATGGTTTAATGAATGGATGGACAGATGGATGGATGGATGGATGATTGAATGAATGGATGGATGGATGGATGATTCGATGGATGGATGAATGAATGGATGGATGGATGGTTGAATGAATGGATGAACAGATGGATGGATGGACGGATGGATGGATGGATTGTTGGATGATTGGATGGATGGATGGATTGTTCACAGGCATCACTAAGTCAGCTGCATGCTGGGCACTGCACCTAGTGCTCGAGATGTGGACCCATCACGTCTGACCCCTGTCCCCAGCAAGCTTGGTGTCTGGAGAAGGGACAGATACAAACACAATTCAAAGACAGCATGCTGAGGGTGCACATGGCATACAGAAGCCTTAGAGCCACCATTCTTCCCAGCTCGTCCTCAGCGCTCCCAGTTCTCAGCTGTGGCCCAGTGGCCTTAGTGCCCCCTTTAGTGGTGAGGGCCCAGTTGGACATTAAATCATCCCATGGCCCTAGTTTAGAGGAGCAGGAGGGTCACATGTCCCCACTCAGAATGCAAAGGAGGCTTCCCAGAGGTGTGGTGTCTGTGCCTTCCAAGGGCTCTGTGGGCGAAGAGGAAGGGGTGACCATCTAGCACAGCCATGTCAGTCTAAGAAGAACCTTGAAGAAAAGGCAGAATCCTCCCAGGGAAACGGAGCCAAAGGAAGCTCAGGTACAGAGGTGCACCCTGGGTGTCATGAGAAAGAAGGAACTCCGATGCCAAAGTGCAGTAAGGAAACCGAAGCGGCCAAAGACACAGAGGGGAGATGAGAAAGGACAGCGATGAAGGGTGTGGCTTTTACTCGGTTGCTCTGCAGGGGATCGCAAATGGATTGCACACAGGAGAGGGATCATATCAGACATACGTGAAATACATCAAACTAACAGCAGAGGGGGGCCAAGCAACGGGGGAGGGGGTCCACGCTGGGCAGGGGACACGGAGGAAGCTGTTGCAGCAATTTGGGGAAGGGGGAAGTGCTGGTGCAGCCTCCAAAGAGGACAACAGGAGGAAGGCTGCAGGGGAGGATCTGAGGCCTGGAGGAAGGGGGAGGCTAGAATTTGCAGTGGAACAAGGTCAGATCAGGAAAGGAAGAAGCCAGGCATGGTGGCTCAAGCCTGTAATCCCAGCACTTTGGGAGGCCGAGGCGGGTGGATCACGAGGTCAAGAGATCGAGACCATCCTGGTCAACATGGTGAAACCC